ATCGTGCTCTGTAATGATCCTTCTGCACAGATTATAATCATACAATTTTAATATGTCACAAGTTGGAGGTTTTGTAGTCTCATTTTCTGTTATCATACTGATTCTGAAATTCTCATCTCTGTTATCTAGCACTTTTGGGTTGCAATATCTATGGTCTTCTTCATTGTTGCCACAACATTCACTCTTTTCAAGTTATGTGGTAAGTCATTAATTTCTGTTAAAATATTACTACCACCACTACTACTAATAATAATTGACATTTATATTTGCATCACCAGTTATTTGAGCCCACTTCCTTTCCTAGGGGAAAAGGAAAACTAAGAATGGTAATTGATAAGAATGATGAAGTTATTGCTTAATGCCAATCAGGATATAAGATCCATTTCCTACTCAAATAAGGCATTGGGAGGGATGATCTGGAAATAATTCTTGTTTAATGTTTTTATCACTGAAAACCTAAATTTTGTATCCTGCAAGATGATGGTTATTTCTTTTCTTAAGCTACAAGTGTCATGACCAACATACACGCTAAATTCTCTATTTCTTATCATATGCATAATGATTGTAGAGAAAACATCTTCTGTTTTTGTAGTTGGCATACATTTAACAAATACAGGTTTGATTTTTATGAAGTATTGCCTTTTGTTTTCCCCGATCTTGTACCTACATGCAGGTGATGTTGCTGCCCTAGGTTGGTGGGATTTATTTATAAATTTTGGGTACGATCCATTCTTTCTCCTTTGGTGGTTGGTTCTTTTCCCTCAGGATCCTTGCCTATTGGAACAGTCTTGTATTTTCTTTTGCAGAATGGCAGAGTGCTTTGCTTTCCTTGTTTGCACAAAGTGGTATAACCCAGCAATTCATAGGAATTCTCAACTTGGAGAACCCAGTACATCTTCAATGACTATAAGATACCTTGACTGGAATAGAGGATTAGTAGTATCTTCGGATGAAGACCAGCAGCAGGACAATAGAATATGCAACCTGCAAGACATTGGTGGACATGTTATGAAAATTCCATTTATTATTTTCCAGATCATGCTTTTCATGCACTTAGGGGTACAATAGTTGTTGAGAATGACCTTTTTGTTGTATTTTCTCAAGATAATTACTGTTGACCTTATATTAAATGTGTAACTATAATGTGATGTCAGGGAACACCACCAAGTGCAACAAATATACCACCTCCAGTTCTTTTTGCTCCTCTTTTGCTGCTGCAAGGAGCTGGGGTTTTGTTCTCTGCATACAGATTGGTGGAGAAAATTGTTCTTTTACTAGATGCTGAAGCTGGTTCTGAAAGATTCTTCAATACATCATCGAGAATTAGTGAATTTTTTGGGTTCTTGCGCCATGGTTCAAAGTAATCTTGTGTTTCATCTTAGACTCAAATTTGATTGACAATTACTGGATTCTTAACCAGTACAATTAGACAAAATGTAATAACTTTTACATTATTTACTACTTATGTTTCACATCTTCTAATAGGTTGCTTGGTTGGTGGTCAATTGATGAAGGAAGTCGAGAAGAACAGGCTAGACTGTATTCTGCAGTGGCATCAGGGTTTGTATACTGTCTTGCACTCTAATTCCTTATAGCTTATATTGTTTTCTTTCTTTCTTCTTCTCTCTCTCTCTCCTTTTTTTTTTTTTCTTTTTTGCTGTGAATTGCACACATCATTATCTAGCGCAATGCAAGCAGTTCTCTATTGTGTGGCTGTTTTCTTGATGAAGCAACCAGAGACAGGCCTCTTAATTTCTCTTCCAATCAGAGGGCACCATGCAGGAAATACCCAAGAAAATTCGTTGTTCTATCATGGTGTATTTCTTTGGAGTGTGGAGGAAGTGGAAAAAAGCTATTTGTTTCCTAGTGGCCACATAATCAAGAGTGAATTATCATTTCATCACCTAATTTAATTTATCTTTTAGACATTCACTATCTAGTTGAATTTCTAATTTGCAGCATGATAACAGTACAACAACATTGCCTTTTACTTTCCTCAGCATCTGCATCACTCATGTTTCATGGCGCTTCTACAGTTAATAAATGGAAAGGACATTTAAAAGACATTGAAAATGCTTGCGAAGTAACATATTAAATTAGCAACTAGTTTACCTGTATTTTGCTTTGATAAATGGTGCGCCTGCCTTATTGATTACTTGCATTTGTGGGCTTCTTGTCATACTTGATGGTGTCCTGAGTAATATAGACAATCAAAAGTTTTTGCCTTGTTGATCTTTCCTTGATCCTTGTCCCTCAGGTACAACACTTTCTCACCCGATATGGTGAAGAAAATGCCAAAAGCTGGTCTCATTGAGGAGGTAAACTCGGCAGTTTTTCTAACTGCAACTTATGAAAACTTTACTGTTTTGTTCTTGAATCACTCTCTTTAATTTGGCAATTGTTTCCACGTAACTTGTTTCCTCAATCAGAATTTCAATTTAAATCTCTAAGCTCTCTGACTGTGCTATGACGACTCCTTTCATTTCAGATTTGGAGATTACAAGCTGCAGTTAGCGAGCAAACTGAAATTTCCGAGTATAGCCAGCAACAGTTTGAAAGGCTTCAAAATGTATTATCCAATAACAAGCTTGAGTTCTTAAATTTTACTTTCAATCATTACCTAGTATATAAAGTAAAGATGCTTACATGCTATTTCATGAATCTGTCAGGAAAAGATCCTGTGTCGAGTTTGCTTTGAAGAACAAATTAATGTTGTACTGCTTCCATGCAGGCACCATGCCCTTTGCAGGTACTCACATCCACGCACCTTATCTCTAGCCTCTCTGTTCATTTCCGACATTAGGTTTAGGTAATAGATAATACATAGATATACCTGGAACGGTCAGAACATCTATGGTTAGCACACAGATACACACATCTATTTATATTTCTTGCTAAAGAGGTAACTCATACAGTCTAATATTGGCATATACTCCCATGGCATGTGTTCACTAGTAATATAACTGCCTAGTTATTTTTGTTCTCATTCAAATCTGTGAAACCTGCCTTTAATATGTTTTGACTCTCTTGGTTTGTTTTTTAAATCAATTTTTCTAATTTGCAATTCAGCACCTGCTGTGAGAAGTGTGAACGGTGTCCCATCTGCCGCGTTGCAATTGAAGAACGACTCGCTGTATATGATGTTTAGTTTCAACTTTCAATCGACCTGTAGAAAGTCCAAACAAACCCCTTTTTTCCAGAAGCATTTTAATCATTGCTTGTAATTTTTTATTAAGCAAGCACTGCTAAGCTGGCAATTCCGGCATCTTCTGATAGTGCTATCAAGGAACTGTAAATACACCCGACCGGGGAATTCATTGAAGTCGCTAATTTCAACTTAGTGTTAATTACATGTCTTCTTCCTTTAGTTTGACTAATCTCATGGGGGCATACAGATCACCCTGATGATAAAACATGAATGAAAATGATGTTTGCTGGCTCCATTGATGAAAATCGAATATTATTACATGAATGGTTGTGAATAAAATCTTCTCTAGTTTCAAATAACGTTAGTATTTGAGAGATTTTAATTTGACCATTTGCGGATGCCTGACAAACTATCTCGTCTATTAGGATATTGTCATTTTTTACTTATATACATCTAGGCTATAGTCATTTGATCATGGGATGGAACTATTGATGACGCAAAACAAGCTTTATTAATTAAATGGGTGTGGAAACAATCTTTCTCTCTGACTTGATCCAATTAATTTTTCTGCTTTTTAGACTCAACTTCCCACTTTCTTGTTCCCATTACAATAATACACACTCCCTTCCTTACCCTAATAATTTAAATGGAGATATTAATTAAGGAATAATCATACTAATAGATCAATACAGCCACATCTGCAGTTTTGTTTCAGTTCAAATTAAAAATTAAAAAAAATGATTAAAAAAAATACAGCCATCTGCTGAGGAAGAACAAAAGAAGATTTGTAACATCAGGCACATGTTGCAGTGATTGGCAGCGGCTCGACAACCGGCCTTGGCGCTGTCTCCTTCCCTTTCTCCTCCCTAAGCTTTGCAGCAAAGTCGTTGAAGCAATCATCCAAGCTTATAAATGGCTCCTCTGGATAGAGACTGCTCACTTCAACCTCGTGTGGACCATCGATTGAGAAATTCACTTGACATCCTTTAATGAAGATATCATGCGTGAATGAGGCCACAACACTTTGCGGTATACAATTTTCTGCACCAATTAATCAACCAATAATCAAATTTCGGATATTATACATTAGTGATTTTCGAACATAAAATTTTCCACTTGTTCTTAGCAAAATGAACCTGCAGCAGCACTTAGTAGGTCATCTTCTGTGACAGTAACCCTAGGGATACTGCGTTCAATTTTCATCTCCCACAAAGCTGCAAGTTCGTTCATGTTATAAAAGTTGCATGATGGCCGGAAATGGACCAACTTGTCCAAGGTCCTAAGGTCGTCCACCGTCTTCATTGTGAACTTCCCAATATCAGCTCCAGCAACAAAGTAAGCTAGACCAGAGAAAAAAAAATTCTTTGATAAGACAAGTGGGTGACAGTATACACTTACCAGTTGGCCTCATTATTGGAAGTAAAGCAACTACACTATTAAATAAGAAATTATGTTTAAGTAAAACTTAATTAAGGACAAACATACCATGTGGGTGTTGTGGTCCGACTGCTCTACTCTACGTCTATCTATCGTAGGGTGGTTTTGAATTCATCACTCTCAAATTGGA